CGGCGGCGGCGGCGGCGCCGCCAAGGTTGTTATTAATGGCGCCGGCGCCAAAGGCGAAGGTGGTTTTGGGGGACTCGGCGGTGGCAAAACCGGAGAACGCTTCGGGGGGTTGGGGGGCCCCTTCGGGGGTTTTTCCCCGGACCCAAAAACCCAAAGAGGCGTGCGTTAATGAGGGCCAAGGGTTCTTCCAGTGCCTTCATGGGTCCCGGTGACCATGGGGGGAGGGGGGGAGGGAGATTTACCCCCTGGCGCGCCCTTTGGGAGGTGCCCTTTTACCGGGGGCCCAGACGCACCCTCGAGGTCTCCCTTGAGCAGTGACCCTCCCCCCCCCCCCCCCCCCCCCGGAATAGGTATGAGAGGTTACCCTGGATGGGCGGGGCCTCTACTCGCCAGGGACGTGCCTCAACTATCATATAAAAAGCCATGAAAAGAATTTCAAAAATAAAAAAGGACTTTCGAAAGATTTTTTTTGGCCCGAGCTACTCGAGTACACCTCTCACATCCAGGGCCGGGGAGCTAAGAACAAAGAGAAGCGCACCCAGCGGGCCGGATGATCGGCATCGGGTTACGGGCTAGAGAGCCCTAGCCCTGGGGGGTGCGCGTTCGCGTAAACGCACAACCCCGCACCCCGCATAGCGGGTCAGCAAGCCCTAGAGAGGGCTGGTGCTCCGGGGTCAGTATTGCACGATCAGCAGTCATGGCGCAAGACCGTGGCAGCGGGGTCTCCGGCTTCGCCCCGGCCCTCACGGCGCCTCCTTGCTGCCGCTCGAGGCGGGGGCCGATTTCCTCTCGCGCGTGCCGGAGCTGGCGAGGCCGTTGCCAGATGGGGAGGTATTTTTGTCCGAGCTACACGCTGTCGCCGCAGAGCAACGCGTCCGCCCATCGCCTCGACTCCCTCTCGATGGAGTCGGTGCTGGAGGCTTTCCGGGTGCAGCAGGACCCACAGGCTCGGCCCGAGCACATCCGCGACGCGAACCTCTGGCTCGAGCGCTTCCAGTCGACCACCGAGGCGTGGACGGTCGCCGACGGGCTGCTCTCGCTGCCGGCGGAGCAGGTGGGCAACGGCTCGGCGCACGTGTTCGCGGCGCAGACGCTGCGCGCCAAGATCCAGTACGACTGGGCCGAGCTGCCTCCCCAGTCGCACGCCGCGCTCCGCGACAGCCTCCTCGCGCACGCCGTCCGCTACAGCGCCGGCCCGCAGGTGGTGCTGACGCAGCTCTGCCTCGCGGTGGCGACGCTGGCGCTGCACATGGAGGCGTGGGGCCAGGCGGTGCCCGAGCTCATCGGCCGCTTCACCTCGCCGCCGGCGGAGGCGCTCGCCAACCCGCCCTTCGGGTCCCTTCCCTTGCTGGTTCCTGAGCCGCTTTCGGAGCCGCCCTCTGTTTAGGCGCTGGCCAAGCTGCCCTGCCTGCTCGAGCTGCTGACAGTGATGCCGGAGGAGGCGGAGAACTTCAAGGTGCGAATCCACTCGTTACTCACGCCGCCCGGTCCTC